CTTCACCAAAGACTTCTCTTTAGTCTTTGGCTGAAGGCCAGGAGCCATTTCTGCTGCTAGCGCTAGGCTAACATGTTAGCTTTGGTTGTATTTAGCCAGAATGCCCTGCACTGTAGTCTATTTCCTTACTTTTGGAGCGGTCTCTGGTCCGGTTGGTGTTCACATTCAAAGTGAACCCAGTGGAACCCAGACCGAGGTTTGGAGGCAGATCAAATTTAGATTATTTTGGTTATCAAACCAAACTAAACCGGACAAAACAAAAAGACTGGAGTTGGATTAGATTGACTGAACAGGACTGGTGGGAATGAACTCTTAATCAGCTCTAGAAAATATTCATCATCAGACACTGTGAAACACTGAGGTGAGTTAAGATCTGGAAGTTATAATGTTACATTTATTCGTCATCTGCATAAAAACAAACATTTTTTTTTATTCAGAAAACGTTAAAGGGCCCAGCAGTGGCGCAACTGCACATTATTCAGGTGGATGCGAAAACATAAATCGGCGCCCCCCCCCGCCCCTCTCCCCGAGGGAAGGAACGTCAGGGTGAAGGGGCGACGCTCAGCCCCCCCGAGGCGACGCTGCGTGAAGTGTAAAAATCGCTACATTTACCGGTCGGTCCACTTCAGGAAGAGAGGAAATGACCTGAAAATACACAAAACCAGACCTGGTTTAAATCCAAAACCTTCAGCAGACTAATGTTGGCACTTTCATTTAGATTCCGGTTTGTTAAAAATGCTAACAGACTGATAATTAAAGTGCATTAAGTCTGCAGCTGTGAAGGTTTTTAACCAGTTTAGAAATGATTTTTCTGCGTCTACGTATTGGAAACTTTGCTCCTCATCAGTCAAAGAGCTAAATGGCATCAGGCTTCTTCTGGAGACCTCTAAGTGGTTCTTATTAATCGATCCAACCTGGAGAATCAGAAAATGCTGTGCTAAGTTTTATTTAAAGCCAGTCTCTGATCATTCATTAATTATGGTGTTTTATTTTGAGTCATTAGGATGAAAAACATCGAGTTTCTCCAGTGCGTCCCCAGAGTCCTCTGAATGCTCTTCATCAGGTCCCTGCAGCAGGAATCCTCTCATTCCTCATCAGGTTTTCTCCCTCGCTGATCACTCCATCCAAAGGTGAGAGGTCAGCAGCATCCACTCACTTATACATGACCCATTAGCTAGAAGTAATTAGCGTGAAGACACAGCGCTCACTTGGTCAATCTGTAACCACGTCTGCATCTCTGTTCTGCATTCCTGATGCTACAGATTCTTCATCAATCAGGTGATCAGAGTCAGAGATCAATAAAGTTCACAAAGAGAGAAAACCAGAGAAAATCAGCGTTCTGCTGAAATCCGTTGGGTCAGAAAAACTATCAAAGATCTGCTATTCAAAAATGACATGTCAGAGGATCAGATGATGCTAAAGCTAAATACTTAGCTAAGGCATAGTTTGCTTGCCAATAAGCAAAAACAAACTATCAAAATAAAAGCTGTGTGTTTATAACTTCTACATAAACTCCTGCAGATGAGCTGATTCCTTCGATGCTGATGCATCGTCCTTTGTTTTAAACTGAAATGATGTTTAAGAAGAAAATAAACAATGATAAAAAGGCAACATGAAACAAAGACCCAGCTTTTATTTTGGTAGTCCACTTCTGGTTACGGGAAATTAAATAGCATATTATCTAAATATTTAGCTTTGAGACAAATGCTTAGTTTCAAACTAAATATTTCACTTGGTACCTCAACCTTTAATTTGAAAGTAAATATTTAAGTGGCTAACAATATTTAGCTTGCTAACTAAACTTTTACTTTGAAGCTAAATATTTAGCTTGCTTGTTGAACAATTTGTTTAAAACTCTTAGCTTTATAAATGTACGAATAACATGGATGCACCTCAGAACATTTACTCTTTGATTGGCTGATCAGAGCTGAACGTGGCGCCGGAGCGGGTCGGACTGGCTGAGCAGGCGGCTCATTAGCAGCCGAGCTGTCGGGTTCTGCGAGAACTCGGTGGAGAGGCCGTTCCCCCGGCCGGCCGGGCCGGGTCGGGTTTCAACCGACCGGCCTCTTTAATCACCCCTCTCCGACCCGGACCGGCCCTCCTGGCAGGTTCCGGGGCGGTGGCGCCTCCGGACCTGATCCGGCCTCCAAGCTGTCGGACATCTGCAGCAGCTCCCACCTTGTCATTAGAGGCCGACCGCTCCGCCGGCCCGACTCCGACTACGACCCGGCCCGACTTTCCCTCGGCCCCCACAGCCTCTCAGGGGACCGGGACCCTGTGTTGGGAACCCCCCGGGAGAAAGAGAAACCCGCCATCATCAGGGCCGGTCCCCGGGGAGCCGCAGGGGCTTTGTTCCCAGGAGGAGACTGGTCAGACTGGTTTCACTGGTAACTGAGCTAAAGATGGAGAGACACTCCGGTTCTGATCCAACGGATCCAAACCACAAAATAATCAACTTTCATGATGAAATTTTTCATCCTGGAGTTTTAATTTAAACCTCAGCGGATTTTAAAAATCTGATACTTTTGTTTCAAATCCTGATCCAGAACTCCTGATCCGGTCTCCAGTTCTTCGTGAAGTTAACTGTTCAAAAACCAGAAAATAATGAGAACTGGAGAGTAGTAGGAGAATAAAGTGAGAAAAGTGGCCAGTTTGTTTGTATTTCTGTTCTGAGCCAATGAAGGGAAGCTAACATGAAATCTGCTTTTAATTTGCCTTGAAGCAACAAATGAATGGATCAGTTCTGAAACCACAGCTTCACGTTCTGAATCGTCACTTTGGGTCGACAACAAACACATTTCATCCTAAAACACAATTTATTTGTTCAGTTAAATCAAAACTTGTGTATAAAAACAGCACAGATAATCTGACATACAGTATTTAAAGCACATTAGCAAGGCGACTTCACAGATCAGGAGCTAATTTCATTGGCTGTCATGGTTAGCATGGTTAGCATTTATGGCTCATTATCTCACTGAATTAATAGATATAAAAAGATTAAACATGTTTCATTTCTAGCAGCTAATGCAAAAAATAAGATCGGATTCATTCTGGATTTATTTCATCGACGTTTCTAAAAGGAACAAAATGTAAACCAATTGTAAACTGTTTTTATTATGTAAAACGACATTTATTGTGATTTTAAGTGGTAGGAAATGTTCAACTAGTTATAAATCTGATAAAACTGGACAATCTTTTGTAATGTGGTGAGCATGATATGTTAACTGAAACAGATATCTGTATTTTTTTTTTCTTTTCTTCTTTTCTATTCACTTTTCTTATTGTGTACTATATTACTTTTTATATTTGTATCATGTTCGAAATAAATTTCAATTTCAATTTCAATAAATGTTAATTTTTTTTTAGATTTTAGCCTGTTTTTAAATGTTTAAAATAATTTATTTCTGTTGTTTTAATGAAAACTGTTTTTGCTCCAGAGGAAGTTTCATGTTTTAATATGAACTGGTCTTAATTTCGTCGTAAAATTGTTGCTTGTTTTTTAGGACAGGATCTGATTTTTGGCCCCAACAAGCCGAGGCTTAATAACCACCAACCAAACTATTCTGCTGGACGATTTATTTCAGTCCTGGAACGTTTAATTGGATCATAATTTAGCTAGCATGTTCACAAGTCCCAAGACAAGTCTAATGAGACTTGTTACACTGGCAAAAATTAACAGCAATAAATTAGTTTTTTAGTTTGCAGGAAAACTAAACAATGGGGTTAATTTGTCAAAGTTATACTTTCATTATATATTTCATATATTTATGTATGTTCCAGTTCCATTAGCAAACTGTATATTTAGTTAGCAGGCTTAATAATTTTCTTGCCAATTAAATATTTAGCACAAAACTAAATATTTAGCTTGCTAATTTAGCTCCAAAATGAAAGATTTAATTAGCAAGCTAAATATTTAACACAGAGCCAAATATTTAGCTCGATGTTGATTTTGAAGCATGCTAACTAAATACTTATCTGGCTAATTAAATCTTTAGCTTAAAGCTAAAAATATAACTTGCAATCTATACATTTAGTTATCAAACTACACATTTTGCTTGCCAATTAAATATTTAGCTCTAAAACTAAAAATATCAATAGTAAGCTATATATTTAGTTAGCAAACTACAAAATCAGCATGGATCTAACATTTAGCTCGCTAACTAAATATTTAGTTTGGAGCTAAGTATTTGCTTATTATTTTTTATTAACCTTTATGAAACCAGATAAAAACCTGATGACACCTAGGTCTCTTTTACAAGCCTCCTGGTTAACTTGTAAGCTAAATATTTAGTTAACAAGCTAAGCAACTAACTAACATGTTTAGTTAGTTGCTTATTAACTAAATATGTAGCTCCAAGTCTAAAGTGTTCAGTAGCCAGGTAAATATTCAACTTGCAAACTAAATATTTAGTTAGCATATCTAGTGTGGCGTTAACGCAGTAAGAATCAAAGCGGCGGTGGAAATGCTCCCCTGAAAACGCCAGCCCAGGATTTGCCGAGCCGAACAGAACCGACCCGTTCAGGGATTCTTCGGCCGTTATCCTTGCTCTCTCTCTGCTGGTGGTCACCATGTTTTGGCTCATTGGTTTATCAAACTGGCAGTTTAGCAAAGTTAAATAAATAAGCATCTCAACATTAAGACTAAATTTCAGGCAGTTTTGTTCATTTTAAAAGTTAAACGGGTCGTAAGTTGGTTTTCACCACCGGCAGGCTGTAACACAGTTTGGCTGGTCACTGGTATTTGTGTTTCTTCTCTGCAGAGAGTCCAGAAAACGCTGGAAGGATTGTGTTCTGGTTTGTTTCAGCGTCTGAAGTCTCATCTCAGGATCTTGTTGGATTTTTGTTTTGTTTCTTGGTCAGAATAAAAGTTTACAAAGCAGGATATAAATTACATTAAACATTCAGTCACCAGAACAGATCAACTTATAAAAAAAGCAACCAGTTAGAACTGTATGGAGCGCCTTTTGTAAAGTTACACTGTCAAAAATTAACAGCAGTAATTTCAGTTATGTAGACTCATAAGAAAAAGGGGGCGTTAAATTTTCAGTCATATTTTCACCATTTTATTCATAAGTTTATAAATGTTACAGTTAACTAAATATTTAGTTAACAAGCCAAATATCTTGTTACAAGACAAAAAATTATTTTGCAAGCAAAATATTTAGCCAGTAAGCTATATTTGGTTCAAACCAAATTTCTGAAGACCCACCTTTTATTTTGATAGTCTACTTCCACTTATCTGGAATTGAATTTGCACATTAGCTAAACATTTAACTCTGAGCTAAGCAGTTTGTAAATGACATTTTCATCTCTGAGGTAACTAAACGTTTGTCTAGCTAAGAGCTAAATATTTAGTTTGGAGCTAAATAGTTTGCTTGCTCACTAAATATTTGGGTGGGAACTAAATATTTAATATTTAGTTTGGAGCTAATTAAATTGTTAAATATTTTTGTTTGAATCTGACAATTATAAATTGATTACCATGATGAAAACCAGACTTTGAAAAATTGATCCCCATTTTTTACTCTTGTTAAAATGAAATAATCCAAATTATTGCTGTTAGGTTTTAATTGAGTAACTTTATAGACAGCAGGTGTCTCTTTCTGCAGGGGGAACCTTCGGGTCGGATGCGGTTCCTTCGGGTCGGATGCGGTTCCTTTGGGTCGGATGCGGTTCCTTCGGGTCGGTTACGGTTCCTTCGGGTCGATTACGGTTCCTTCGGGTCGGTTGCGGTTCCTTCATGTCTGTTAGAATTCCTTCAAGTTGGATACGGTTCCTTCGAGTCGGTTACGGTTCCTCTGGGTCAGATATGATTCTTTTGTGTTCCTCCGGGTCGGTTACGGTTCCTTCGGGTCGGTTACGGTTCCTTCGGGTCGGATGCGGTTCCTTCGGGTTGGATACGGTTCCTTCAGGTTGGATACGGTTCCTTCGGGTCGGTTACGGTTCCTTCGGGTCAGTTGCAGTTCCTTCGGGTCGGATGCGGTTCCTTCGGGTCAGTTGCAGTTCCTTCGGGTCGGTTACGGTTCCTTCGGGTCAGTTGCAGTTCCTTCGGGTCAGCTATGGTTCCTGTCGGGGAACCCATGTGAAGTTCCACCGGCCCCCCGTGTCCTTCCTGATGAAGGCCTGTCCCTGGGGGAAGCTGTGTGTCTTCACGCTGCTGGACGGACTGAGGGACATGCTGAAAGCCAAATCTGTCGGTTTGTGAAGCGACTGTGATGACGTAGCGCTGCAGCCACTAGAGGGCGCCTGAGATTTGTTCAGAACAGAACCGGAAGACGACCTGGAGGTGAAGCAGAGTTGCTCGTTTGGAGTCCAGCTGGACTCCAGCAGCTGGACGCCTCTGGTGGAGCAGATCTCTGTCAGCGCAGAGCTAGGCAAGGCTCCGACAGGTCCGGAGCAGGTTGGTACTGGCCTGGCAGAAAAGGTGCCTTCAGAGGACAGGTGGTCCGTCTCCCCTGCGGCGGTTTGGCAATAGCTGTGGACAGAGGATGGAGTGGACACCGGGGAACCAAAGGCGTCGCAGTACACCAGATCCTTTAAGCTGGACTCTGATTCGCTGGACGCATCGATGGTGTTCTGGTCCTTCAGGCCCAACATTCGCAGCACCCAGAGATCCAGGCTTGGTTCTGGAGAGGCTGACCCGGCAGAGGACTCAGAGCAGAACTCAGCAGTCAGGTTTCGGCAGACTCTCTTAGTGATCTGCTTGGAGAACGGATGACCTCTGACCTCAGAGGGTTCATGATCGAAGCTGCTCTGGTTTCTCTTCAGATTCCTCCTGTCTGCTGTCAGTTTCTGTGATGCAGAACAGATGAGACAGATTCAGATAGCATTCATGTCTCTCAGCTTCCTCCCTCGGTCCTAAAACATGACTGCCAGGCTAATGGTTCTATATAAATTGTCCTTAAGGATGAGTGTGTGTGGTTGTTTCTGTGTTGCCTTATCTTCATCCTTCTGTGCTCTAAATATCTTTATTTGCATTTTTCTGGAGGTTCAGAAGAAGGGAATCTCTGTCTAAGGTTTCTTTGGGCAATCAAAGTTTGGTTGTGAATGTTAACTGACCTTTGACCTCTGGCCCTCCAAACCTCGGCCTGGGTTCGGTCAAAGTGAACCAAAGTTTGGTTTGAATGTGAACGCCAAGTGGACCGGAGACCGCTCCAAAAATAGGAAGTTGACTACAGAACAGGGCATTCTGGATAAATACAACCAAAGCTAACATGCTAGCCTAGCGCTAGCAGTAGAAATTGCTCCTGGTCTTCAGCCAAAGACTAAAGAGAAATCCTCCAACCGCTAAAATCTGACGCCTCCATCTTGTTTCCATCTGGTGAAGAAGGAAGTTGCTCTCAGTGTCTTCAGAGGTTTTTGTGTCGTTTCCTTCAGTGGTTCTTGGTGCAGCGCCCCCACAGGCCAGGAGGGGAACAGGTTGGTTTGACTCGGAGCAGAGAGAAAGAGAACCAGAGCAGCTGGAGGTGGAGCAGATGGTGGAGTTCTGGTTCCAATCTAAGCGTTTCAGGAAACTGATGCTTAGGACTGGAGTTGTTAACCACTGACCTACATGACACACAGCTCTTCCTTTGGGAACACACCAATCCTTAAAGCTTTTCTGTCCCAAAACTAAAAGCCTCAGGAAACTCGGTCAAAACTCAATGTGTTCTCCAGATCTGCAGCACACATTGAGACCGGACAGCCGAACCTCAGTACAGTGATCCCTCGTTTTTCGTGGGGGTTGCGTTCCGAAAATAAGTGAAATCCGCAAAGTAGTTTACCTTTAGTTTTTACAATTATTATACAGCATAATTAAATACTCTACATTAAAACCGAAGAACAAAACCTGTTTTCAGGTCAGCGGATTTACGCGTTCATCAATCGGGCCTTAATGTGATCCGGAGTCACGTCATTAAAGCGTCTCCTCCAACCTGCCCCAGAGATTCACAGCTGGATCTACGGCAGAGCGACGAATCTGAGCCTCCGGTCGGGTTCTGCTGCCTCTGGCCACAGTTTTTTCCAGCTGGCATTCAAAGTTTTCAGCTTTCATCTCCTGAATGGCCAATCTGTATTACTTATATTTAAATACTGTATTGCCACACAGGTAGAGAAGGAGCTCGGAGACTGTTTAGCCAATCAGGACGCAGAACACAATGCACTGTGAAAAAAACTGCACAAAAAAATCTGCAAAGCAGCGAGATGGTGAAAGGCGAACCGCGTTATAGCGAGGGATCACTGTAATCCCTTCCTCACTACAGGCTCAGTCCAATCACCCACCTTCGCTTTTTCCTGCAGGTTCGTCACAAAAGAGGAACTGAGGAATCCTCTGAGTTTGCTGTTCTCCTCCTGCAGCCTGGCCAGCTCTTCCTCCCTCTGCAGCAGCGCATCCTGCAGCTGGAAGCACAAGAAGAATCATGAGCGCCAGAAACAAACTGAAAACTGGTCCAGATCTTCAATGATCTGCACTCAGAGTTTATTTAACGACGATTTATGATCTCTTTTCTGGTTTAACTGCTGGTATTAAAGTGAATAAGAACTAATGATGTTAACCTGACAGTAAACAGGTGTTGTCTACCTGCTTGTTCCTCTGGAGGTGAGGCGAGAGCTGCTGTGTCCACATCAGGCCAGCAGAGGGAGTGAAAGCACACTTGGATTCTGACAGAAACACGCAGGAAATGATGTAATCATCAAAAACAATCCTTCATATGATCAAACGAAACCTCTAAAGTCGACAGGTTTTAATAACGCGACCATGTTGGATTTGACTGAACATTTAAGTCTGATTTTTACTGTTAGATAATAAAACGTTTAATCTAAGTACAGAAACCCTGCCCCCTGCTGGCAGGATGAAGAATCTGAATTTAAAACATGATTTAAATAGATCTGGACTTCACAACAGCGCCCCCTGTGGTCAGAAGAGGAGGTCAGGAGAATCCAGCTGGGATCAGACCAACTGAACTCCGGCTGACGAGACACAAAGAAAATGATCTTTGATTTTTTAGAGAATGGAATGGATCAATCTGTTTGATAAGTAAATAAAGACCTGCTCATGCTGCACTGTGATTGGCTAAATTACAAATGGGGGCGGGATCAGGTCAAGGTCAGGTCCAGAACATTAGCGTTAGCTTGACTCACCCCACAAAGACGATAGCATGTTTCTGCTCTCATCGAGGTCACAGAGGTCGGTGGGGTCATGCTCATGTTCCCACATAGAGGCCAGTGTTTCCATGGAAACACCAACAATGTCGCTGCCACAGAAGTGACCAAGAAGAGAAGAAGAAGAACAGCTTGAGAAGAAACCCCCACAGAGAACCAAGAAGTTTAATGTATTCCTTATAAACACAGTCAGCCTAAACAGCAGGATGTTTTCAAGGTGAAACACCGACCCCTACAGGTAGAGCTCTAACTGAACTCCCTCTACAGAAGTGGATCAGCTTCTATGTAAATGAAATAACTTACTTTAAGTGACTCTGTGCAGCAGGAGACCCGGCGATGGCAGTATGATGCTGTGGTGCTCTTCAGATTGAGCCATTCAGAGCCTCGACATGCAGACCTGCTGAACATGTCACACATAAAAACATTCATATCCAGATTTCCTGCAGTCCAGACCAGAATTGCTGCAAATAGCTGAAATAAATAAACATTTACTGATGATAAATTTACTGCATCATTTCACTGAGAAAAGAAAATCTGTTCCAAAGTAGAGCAGGTTGTTCAGGGTGGTGAACCCGGCAACTGATTTAAAGCTCAAATATCCAGAAAGTTCTGATTTTCTGGGAAAGTCTTGCAGTTTGGCTGCTGGTGATTTTTATTTCTAATTTCTTCCTTCCCTCTTCCATTCTAATAATAACCTCAGAGCTACTGGCTGCCTGTTTGTCCACAGTCTGATTAAAGTCATGCAGTTCTTCCATCCTGCACTGACAGCAGCTTCTGTTATACTGAAGGATTTTAAATCAAGTGTGAACCTAAAGTGACTAAAACAGCATCGTTTCTTAAGATTTGATGCTTTTAAAGAGATTGACACGGAATTTACACAATAATGTCATAAAACAGCACAAACTTTCTCAACAAAAGATAATCAATAAAACAATAAATAAACGTTTAAAAGCAAAGTCTCATGTAAATGTTGGGTTTAAAACTGAACGTTCAGACTTTGCAGGTTGGAATCTGAAATCATCTTTAATTTTTCTGACAGCTGATTTCTGCTGGATGATCTTCAGTTTGACGAGCTGAAGGCGAAGCTTTTCCTAAAACAAGTGAAACTGAAGACTGAACTTAGCTTCTCCTCCACCGATTAACCGAGCAGCTCTTTACCGCCGTCAGATTCAGACCTGAACGCGCCGCGTCTCCTCCGCGCTGTGCGTAAAGCGCACCGGACTCTCCAGGAACCACAGGGACGGGAAGCGAGGCGGGAAAAATCCTCAGTGCCGAACCAGAACCGGGTCCGGGTTCTGGTCCTAAAGCTGCAGGATGAGAGGAAACTTTGGTGAGAGGGTGAATTTCTGCCTGTGATGTGAGTTCAGTGTGAGCAAAGCTGCAGAGATTTCCTCCCACGCGCAGCAACAGGTGTCACCTCCCGCAGTCACGCACGTGCCGGCTTGTCCAATCAGCGCGCAGAAAGAGCTGAGCGAGTCAGACTCACCTGGGGACAGGTAGCCTCCAAAAACCCAACATGTGAAGTTCAGTCAAAACTAACAGGACGATTCCGGTTATTTAGTCCGTCAAAATCAGTTCCTGTTTTCACCGTTCATTCGTTTATAACTGCCAGTTCCAAACTAAATACTGAGTTAAATATTGAGCTCCAACTAAAAGTTCAGTTTGAAGCTCAATACTTCTATCCTAAAAAACCAAACAGCCAGAACGGTTCAGGCAGCTGGTCCAGATGGAAATGAGAGAAATTACCAAACAGCTCCGGGATTTTCTGAATCATTTTTATTACTGAAAGTTTGATTTATCAAGTTCTCTTCTGATTCTGAGATTATGAATTAAACATTTTAGAATTGTGCTTAAAGCCGGATTCAGTCACTTCCTCTTCAAGGTGAGTTAACCTTAAAATAACCTTGCAGTTAAAAAATGTAACATAAATTACAGCCAAAACAACGAGACGGAAATCCTCCAACTACAAACATTAAAAACAGCATAAATATTTTACATTGTGATAACTTATTGGAGGACTTCACTCGAAGAATCGGAGCCGTGGTTGTCTGGGAGCGACAGAAAATGTCTGTTATTTAATTTATCTACATAAATCAAAAGGAATTAATTTGTAAAACAAAGGGGACCGAAAGTTGCAAATGTCAAAGTTTTATCGTCACTTAAAAGGGATGCACAAAGAAAGCTAAGCTAGTTGACGCTAACTAGCTAGCGACAGTAATCTAACTTTGTACCAAAATAGAGATTTAGTCAATATTAGCTATAAATATCAGATTAGCTTCTTGTCTCCTGTATATGCTGAATGTTTTAGAGAATTAGTTTCTGAGGAAAACTGCTCCCAATTAAAACAGGTTTGTACTTTTATAAATCCCATGCAGTTTTCACCATTTTGCATTTTATTTATGTTTATGATGATTTTATTACACACAGCAGAATCAACATGTTGAACTTCTGCACTCAGACTATCAGCAGCTTCTCTGTATTTTTGGTATTTTTTCTGTTTTACACATTTAGTTGTGCAGCTTTAAAATCATTGTTGGTTTACAAACAGCATAAATTCAGTCTGTTTATGAAAAGCAGACTTTAGTGATGAGCAATGAAAAGCTGTTTAACATTGTGTACTAAATGATGGAATCACCCAGGAGTATTAAATAAAGATGGTTTAGTTCAAGTTCAACGTTTGTTTATCATGGGCAAACAAGTTTCCTTCCCCAATGAAAAACTTTTCTGTCTGCAAGAATGCTACTTAAAAAAGGATGAAATGTAAAATAACCTTAGAAAACATGATCCAAAAGGACCAAAAACAGGAATAAAGTATTAACTATATATAATTTAATACAATAAATAGTGCAAATAAAAATGCAGGCCATGTGAATAGAAGCAGTGAAGATGTGCCACTTTATTTCAGTGTTTCATGAGAATGTGGTTCAATCTGAGATTAACTTCTAATCACATTTATTGCATCATGTAGCTTTTGGCTCTGGTTCTGGTCCTGATTGGTCTGATGGTAGGCGGCCTGTCAGCTGTGAAGCAGTTCAGGCCTAACGAGGCAGCGGGCTACAGGTGGGCTACCTGGTGGTCTAAGTCAGGTTCAGCGGGGCAGATGTTAAACCCGCCCGCCTCCCTTCCTGCCCTTCCTCCCTGCTGGGATCCTAATGACGGTGGGCCGGGCAGAGGGGATTTGTTGGACGACAGCGGCGGCTCCCTGACGTCCAGCAGCCTCCGCGCCGCTGGACGTCCGCGGCGGCGGCCACTCCCAGCTCGCCTAGAGAAAACGGGCCTCATCTGCTGCTGAACGGAGTCAGACGGAAAAATGAGAGAAACACAGAGAGAACTAACAAACACATGTTTTTATAGAGCAGGTCATTAGCTTAGCTTAGCATAAACACTGCTCAAATATATTTGTATAAAAATGTAACACCAGTGACTAAAAAGGTCAGCATGAGCTAATATTGACAGTTTGATTGTTTAATGCTGAGAAAAGACAAAAATAAAAAGGTGAATTATAAAAAAGTTGGCTGGGTTAAGCTAAGCTAAGGAAACTAATCAAAGCTAACATAAGCTAAGCTAAGCTATGGAAACTAGAGGCAAAATAAACTCATGCAATTTATATTAAAGCAGATGGGATGATAAAATATAAGATTAATTAAAATAATGAAGCTTTTTCAGTATTTGCTTGTTTTCTGATGTAAAAAGGAGAAACATCAAAGAAATGGTTTAAAGAAAACAAAACCGATCAGGATCTTTAAAATAGAGCTAAAGGCGCCAACAGCTGCGGCGCAGTTGTAGAGCAACACACCTGTCAGGTGTGTGTGTGTGTGTGTGTGTGTGTGTGTGTGTGTGTGTGTGTGTGTGTGGACTTGCCTGGTTAATCCTGAGCATGTTTGTCTCCTGTAGAGATAATCTAAAGACGACGCCTGACTTCTGCACAGGAGGCCGCTGCACACATTAACTACCCCCCTCAAATCATGAACTGCCCCTGACACACACTCCCTGCATCATGCATGCATGATTTCACACACACACACCATCAATCTGTGTGTGTGTGTGTGTGCCGCCGGCCTCGTGCTGCCGAGCCTTTTCTACCTCCATAATGGCGGCCTGCGGCGAGCTCCGGGCCAATTAAAGCCCCGGGAGGAGCGGCGGAGGCGGCCGCTGAGCCCGGCCAGCCCGGTTCTGATCCGAAGCTGAGGCGGGTCGGGTCGAGCAGCTGCTGAGCTGACAACCTGCTGCGTCTGGTCATGCAGGACGAGCTGCAGCGTCCAATCAGTGGAAACGATAAGCAACCAATCACTGATCAGCTCCTCAGAGTCCCATCATCATCATCATCATCATCAGTCCAGATTCAGTTTGGCTTTAAGATTTATTTCATTTAAACTGCTTCAGTTAGTTTTAATTAGTGTCTTCTGTGTTTTATTAGTTATTATTACTTTTTATAGTTTTTCATATTTAGGCTCATTTTTAGGTGCAGAATTCAAAAAGGTCAAAGTTTGGTGGTTATGAGTATTGAGCATTGTTTATGTGATGAATACTCAACAGAAGAAAACATTTTTTAAACTCTGCTCTTTGCTCCCAAAGTTTGCAGTCACCATTTTGCGGACTAGCACAGCGCCACCTGGAGGAGCATGGAGCGCCGTAATTTACCGACAGCTGACGTAAACTGTTTGTGTGGAGAAAAAATAATCAATTTCACATCAGTTTGAAAATTATCATAAACATGAAAACAAAGGTTATTATATCTGTAATTTCACTATGTTTTGGTTTTATAAAACATACTGAAATAAAAATCGTAAATAATGGAGATTATTATTTACGATTTTTATTTATGTCAGTTAACAAAAATGTTTTATGAATTTCAATTTTGTTATTTTGTTCAATTTGGTTCACCACTTGAAGGAAATTCATAAGTTTGAGTTATTTTATAATTATTTAATTCACTATTTATGAAAGCTTTATTTGATTTGTGATAGTTAAATAAAAAGTCAATTTGCTGCACAAATTATATCCTGGACTGCACAGTGGCGCAGTTGGTAGAGCAGGTTAAAACGCATCGCAGCGCAGAGAGGAGTCCGGTTTACGGACCTGATGACATCACTGTGGTCCTGGCCTCTGATTGGCTGACTGGGATCGCGTGTCAACGTGCGCCACCACCGAAGCGTGATGATAGTTTGGACAAAGAGTTCTTCTCCCTGGTCAGTGAAGTGTAAAATAAAGGCCATTTCCTCCTGTTTCTGTAGATTATAATTAAACCTCAGAGCGACTGCAACCAGAAGAACAACAAACCTGAAGCTGGATGGAGAGAAGCATCTTCTTCAGAACTAAACTCAGTTTAAGATGCATTTAAAAACAAGCTAATTCACAGAAAATAACAGATCACTGCAAGTCCAACATTTTTCTGGAGGAGAATCTGATTAATGATTTACTGAAAGATGAGATTTACTTTAAATCGGTTTTTGCTGTCAGAGTGAAAACTCTTCAGTCACTCCTGCAACTTTGACCAGCTATCTGAGGTAAAATCCTGGTTCGCCTCAAACTTTATCAAATGAAACAATAAAACTGAAATTCTCCTCACTGGCAAAAAATCTATATTATCAAAAGTTGGTAACTTCACTCCCACATTCCTGAACGCTTCCCTCCATTCATCCTCTCATATCCATAATCTGGTCTGCATATTTCCATCTGCGTAACAGAAATAATTTCGTCTTTCCCTCATTCACAACGTATTGATTACTGCAACTCTGTCCTTTCTAGAAACAGTTTTAGTCATGCACAGACATATTCAAAGTTTTCTGTGATTAGAGGCAGTTTCGGCTACAGTACCTAGCCGCTAACATACCTTTGCTAGCTAGCTATCCGTTTTACTTTACCAGTTTGCTGAGTGACGTTCGTTTTTGCCACTGGCTCTCTTCTGTTGCCAACCGACACGATGCTAGCTGCATTCCAACACCAGCTAGCTAGCTTTTTTTGCACAGATTGGTGATACATTTGTGCTGGACCCCAGGATAAATGCTAAAAGACTAGCTAGCTTACATCATATGGAAATTTACACACAACACAAATTTGTCAAAAGGACAAAAAAAGAAAAAAATCAAATAATGATAAAATCAACTTACACAGACCAGACAAAAAATAACAATGAGGATAAAAATTTTATTTCTAATTTTAACATAACTTTTACTCAGATACAGAAAGTTAAATCTCATCTTTCAGTTTCTTTTCATCACACAAAGAGCCTCCAATCAGTGATCTGGTGTTTAGGAAAGAGACTCGGTAACACTTTATTTGAAGGGGGGTGAATAAGACTGACATGACACTGTCATAAACATGACATAACACCTGTTGTGAACTTGAATAAGCCTTCATGAATATTTATGACTGTTGTCATAAAGCGTCATTCGGTAAATTATGACACTTTTAATACAAAGTTGACATTATTCAAAATGTCTTTGTTATGACAACTTGACATTAACCAAGAAATCATTACTGATTAAACTTTACCTTTAATAACATAAAGTTACCTAATTTTTAAAGTGCAATCAGTAAAACTTTTATAACAAATTTATATCAGTAATGATTTCTTGGTTAATGTCAAGTTGTCATAACGAAGACATTTGAATAATGTCAACTTTGTATTAAAAGTGTCATAATTTACCGAATGACGCTTTATGACAACAGTCATAACTGTTCATGAAGGCTTATTCATGTTCATGACAGGTGTTATGTCATGTTTATGACGGTGTCATGACAGTCTTATTCACCCCCCTTCAAATAAAGTGTTACCAGAGACTCTTTAGGTTCCTGAGGCGCGTCAGGCCCTGCAGACGAACGCCGCCTGAAGAGCCGCCAGAGCGGGACGGCCGGCTGCTGGGGCTCCAGGTCCAACAGGGAGCCGCTGAACTGCGGCCAAGCCTCAAGGGGTCATCGCCGAGCCAAGAGTCCAGTTACCGTGGCAACAGCTGGAGCAGTACTGGACCAGGACAAGAGAAAGCCTGCACAGACTGCAGAGTAGCACGGACCGGTTTCATGGTTTCTCTGCATTTGGTTTTCATTCATCTCTGGAATGAAAACAGTTTCTGCAAAAGTTAAAGAAACAAGATGAGTCTGGTAAGAACTCAAGACTAACACTGATCAGGAGAATAAAACTGGCTGCAAACAAAAGCTAATAACGGCAAAAATGGAAAACCTCAGAATAAAGAGCAACAATATAAGACAAATAAAAAAACAACAAAAAAACCCCACAAATGGTAGAAACAAAGGTTGGAACTTACCAAATAAGAAACTTTGGTTGATTAGACAGAGAGCGGAGGTGGAGCTGATGACACAAAGCAGCTAAAATCACTGCAAAATTATCATAAAGAAACAAAAAGAGAAACAAAAAGTAAAACGAGCCACCAATCACAGCGCAGCGCCCAGGGGGCCGCTGGCTTCAGCTGCCAATAACAGGTTCACTCAGCCAATCACAGGGCAGCTTCAGTTCACCAAACCTTCACTCCTCCATCTTTGTTCAGCGTTTGTTGTTTCCAGAAACCGTCTGAGATCTTCTCTGGACAGACGCTCGCTTCGCTGACATCAGCAGGAATAAAATGTTTCCACTTCATGTCCTGCTTCTCATCAGGTTGACACAGCCTGAAGGCTGAAGAGACTTTCAACAGGAACCTTCCTGTCTTCATCAGCAGCTTCTGGGTTTTCTGTTGTTTCCTCTTGAAAACAAGAACAAGATCAACACAAAGATCAGATTTTCATACAATTACATTTACTAAACCATCCATACAATAACTCTGGCCATTTTCTGTTGTCGAAAAACTCACTAATGTTTTCCTGAATCATAGGAAACTAAATAAAGTTTAGGATGGAAAAACGTTCATGTTTACTCGAAGGAAAACATGAACTGAGTTCAGCTGCTGCGCTGTGCTGCCACCGCCTGGCCGCCGGATGAACTGCAGCTGGCAGAAATACTGGTTCCAATCCTGGGTCTTTCTTTGGAGAACTGCAACAAATTACACAAATAAAAACTGTTACCAGTAAGTACTCCCATCAAATAAATCAATGTACCTAGAAATAAAAATAGATAAATATAAAAAAAAGTATTTATTTAGTAAATGAGTTGTATTTATGTATTTTATTTGGATGTTGATAGAAAAGTCCAGAGAATGTCAGAGGGAGCTGCATGGTGATTTTGTAGATCTAGAGAAAGGAAGACTGGTGCTGAAGCATCTAGATAAATAGCTACACATTTCATGGGCTTTTTGGTTTTATGTTCTTACGTTTCACTGAGTGTTTTTTTCTGTGCTTTGGGTCTGAAATAAATAAATGAAACAGATCAATTAAATTCCCATTAAATTTTTTATTTAGTTTTATTTTCATGGGGAAATGTATTTATTGGAGTACTTATTGATTATTTCTGAGACAGTGTTGATTCAGTTTTGAATTAACAGCTCTGCATCTTCCTGTGATTCTCTCTTTGTGCTCCAGCTTTTCATGCTGCATGTTGGCGTCAAACCCTGAAGGGTCAGAGGAGCAAACTGGTTTCGGTTCCTGAGCGCCTCCTGGAGTCGATCACAGATTTATGAAGTCATGTGTCCATAGAAACATCCAGCATCAGAAGGCATTTAGTTTCTGTTGGCATTCAGGAGCTGAGGAGACGTCTGTTCTTCTGTCCTGATGTTTCAGTGTTTTTCCTCTGGATTTGTCTGTTTGGGACATTAAATAAATCCGTTTGGTTCCCATCAGTCGGTCCAGCATCCTGAGGCTGCAGACACAAAATGAAACAAGGTTCCTCTGCTGAGCTCTCAGTGTGTTTGGTTCCATCTGTGAAGAGCATCAGGCCCAAAGCTGAACAGAGTAAAACCAAAGCAAACAGGCTGCTGGATCAACCTGCTGGTTCTGGATCAGAACCAGAACCAAACATGGAGAAGCAGCTTTCAGCTTCTATGCACCACAGATCTGGAACAAACTTCCAGAAAACTGAAAAACAGCAGAAACCCTGAGTTCCTTTAAACCCAGACTAAAACCAGCTGGTTAGAGTTGCTATGGAAACATAATCGATGAAACACTGATCAATAACCTGATGTATAACGACGCCACTTGGAAAAATGTAATGCTTCATTTGTTGATTTTTGTGCTTTTATGATGTAAAGCACTTTGAGCAAATAAAGTTTATTTGATTTCCTCCAGTTCTTAATGATCCCGTTGCAGCCAAGCATCTTGCTGCAGCGCAGCAGGAATGTTCTGCAGCAAGCGGCGAGTTTCTGACCCGCTGCTGGCAGCAGAGAGATCGATGGAGCTGTGAGGTTCTGTTTTGTCTGGACTCCGGGTCGGATCGGCTTTCAGCGTGAGAGCAGTCTGGGTAAACAGGTCTGGGTCAACAGCGGAGGACGGCAGGGAATATCCAGGAGATCCTTCACTCTGAAGACGGGAGCCATCTGATCTGTGTGAACATCACGGCTGCAGCGTCAGCAGCACAGGAGGGGAAACAAACGAGCTTTCTTCTCCGCTCCGAGAGTCTCGCTCTGATTTATGGAGATGGTTGGCTGAACACTCTTTCACCTCTGCTGTTTTCCCAAATCAAAGACACAAGAAAGATGAGTTTCTTTGGGCGCAGCAGAGGCGGAGGGGTGAAGGCTTTCATCCCATGTATGAAGGCCTCGGGTTCAAACCCCAAAGATCGCCGCATGTCTTCCAGATAAAAACCACCAGAGTCGACAAAACTTTGTTAAAACTTCTTTTTGACAATTTGTCGGCATTAAAGTGACAACTTACAGATTTATATCATAAACTTCAATAAAAATCTAGAAAATTCAACTCACTCTAATTATAGAAAACCATTTGGGTCTCACATTTAAAGTCACATTTTCATTATTTATGAACTGAAAACAAAAAATCTTGCAGGTTTGCCAGAGAATCCATTCCTGCTCAGAGGATCTGAACATTTCCAGACAAAATCTCACCAGAAGGCAGAACCGCCAGGCTCACCCTAAGGCTCACCGCCAAGCTCACAAGGCTCACCGCCAGGCAGGCTCACCACCAGGCCACCACCAGGCTTACCGCCAGGCTCACCACCAGGCTCACCACTAGGCTCACCGCCAGGCTTACTGCCAGGCAGGCTCACCCCCAGGCCACCACCAGGCTTACCGCCAGGCAGGCTCACCACCAGGCCACCACCAGGCTTACCGCCAGGCAGGCTCACCACCAGGCTCACCACTAGGCTCACTGCCAGGCTCACCACCAGGCTCACCACCAGGCAGGCTCACCGCCAGGCCACCGCCAGGCAGGCTCACAGCCAGGCAGGCTCACCGCCAGGCCACCTCCAAGCTCACCGCCAGGCAGGCTCACCGCCAGGCCACCGCCAGGCAGGCTCACCGCCAGGCTCACCACCAGGCTCACCACCAGGCTCACCGCCAGGCAGGCTCACCGCCAGGCTCACCACGAGGCCACCTCCAAGCTCACCGCCAGGCAGGCTCACTGCCAGGCTCACCACCAGGCTCACCGCCAGGCAGGCTCACTGCCAGGCCACCTCCAAGCTCACCGCCAGGCAGGCTCACTGCCAGGCTCACCACAGGCTCACCGCCAGGCTCACCACCAGGCCACCTCCAGGCTCACCACCAGGCTCAGACTGCAGGAAGTTAGAACAACAACCACCGTCCCATGCTTCATCTGGCAGCAGAGATTAAGGAGCAAAACCTACTTTGTTTATACATTTATTTACTTTTATGCATTTGTAAGTTTCTTTGGTCTGAACATGATGAAAGAAGAAGTTCATCATTTTCTGCAGACCTGTTAAACAGCAGCTCCAAGCCAAACAGGGAGGCAGCTGCAGCTCCTCCATGTTCTGGATCCTTTATGTCCCATGTTGGACCTGAAGTCGTGTTAGCTCTTTAATGACTGTTAAGTCAATGACGTTAGCAAAGATTCTGATGAAACAGCCAAACCATGAGTCACCAGCTGCTCTTATAATCCAACTCTGAAGGCAGGTAGAGTGAAGTTTAATGTCCTTGTTAGTTTAAACTCTCAGTCTCTGCCATGCCAGATGAATCATGATGCTTTTGCTCCAGGAGAGCGGCTGCTAAGGTTGGCCACAATAAAACATTCAACATGGTGGGCTCTGCTCAAGTTAGGTAAAGCAGGTAGATCAAGGTAAGTAATTCATCATTTTAAAAACTATTTTCTGCCACATAAAATATTCCAATGAACTTAGCCGCGCTAACACTGAACTACATATCAAAAACAGCAATAAAGCGTAACACCTCTATTGTAAATAGTAGCAGCTAATGCTAAAGCGCTATCCCAGTACTGTAAATAGTAGCGGCTAATGCTAAAACGCTATACCAGTACTGTAAATAGTAGCGGCTAATGCTAAAGCGCTATACCAGTACTGTAAATAGTAGCGGCTAATGCTAAAGTGCTATACCAGTACTGTAAATAGTAGCGGCTAATGCTAAAACGCTATACCAGTACTGTAAATAGTAGCAGCTAATGCTAAAGCGCTATGCCAACATTGCATTTAGAGGACTGCTTCAGGGTCCTCTGAGTATTTCTTAGACGTCAGAAGTTGAACCAGGACCAACAGATCATGTTTGACTCTAGAATACTTTGGGCTATAGATGGACTCATTCTTACCTCCCAGCTGCCATCATTCCTCCATCACCGTGCTTTACAGCTATTATGAGGCGTTTGGTTTCCTCTATCATGGTGCAACATCTCTATGTTGCCCCAGAAGTCAGATCAGACCTCAACTCTGTGGCCATTTTGTTTTAAGGAGAAAGAGGTGTTCTCTTTCAACCCAAAGTGTCTTATCATGACCTTTAACCTTTAGCCTGCTAACCGAGGCCTGCAGAGTTGTAGATGGAGCCGTTGAGTTCATCTGTGAGCTTCACGCTGTGACGCTGGGCTCAATCTGCTGGGATGTCTGAGATGTTTTGCTCTCTGGAGAATGATGGACTTCAGATGGTTTTGGCATGACCTTTGACCTTTTCCCAGCTGATTTTCTGAGATCACTCCTGAGATCTTTCCACCTTAACACACATCTTTAGAGAGGCAGCCACTGAGACCAATTTTGGGGATACTTTGCTCAACTTTTAATGTATCCTGTTTCTATGGCAACGGGGAGAGGTTTAGCATGACATCACCTGGAGACGGTTGTCTCTAATTAGAGGGTCAGCATGTATTGCTGCCATTAACCCCAGTGTGTTTTTTCAGTGACACAATCCTCCATCCTGTAGTAAGTTGGGGGGTTGGAGCTGTGATGCTAGCATGCTAGCAGCAACAGGAACACAAAGATATTGAGGTCAGATTTCAGAGTTATTTGGGTTTTATTTGTTTATTTTGGGTTTTCACAGGATGAATGAAACTCGTGATATTTACAGAGGAGTTCAGTATCTCGTCTCAATAAAGCTTAAGAACCTTTTGTTGAGTTTAGCATTTTAAATCAGTCAGTCTGTGAGCAAACGGTCAGATCAGTCCTTCCCCACAACTTCTTTAAGTATTTAAAACATTTTCTCTCATTGGGTTTAATAAAAATATTTCATCATCTAGACATTGCAACTTCACTTCATCAGTGTAAAGACTCTATTGACTGGATTTATTGCACAACTTTGAGGATAAAATGGAGCCAAATAAATAAAACAGAAACCTTCCAAAACAGTTTGGTTACCTATAAACACAGATGACTGAATCCCGGTGGTGGGCACATTGCCGCTAATACGGTGAGAGCACAGCTCATTTTTTTGTTTAGTACTTTAGCATGTGTATCAACATGGTTGTGCTTAGCGCTTTAGTATTAGCTTCCACATGTTGGTATAGCACTTTAGCGTTAGCGGAGCTGAAGCGCAACCCTTACAGGTAGACATATTAAACCCTTTGGAGTGCGACATACTATGTTGTGCTGTTGGGACATGGTCGTATCAACAAGGTTAAAATTTGCGCATTAGCTTCTGCTAAATACCTGTTTTATTTTTTATGCCTTTGGAAACAGTTTATTTTGATATCTAGAGGTTCCTTGATGTCATAAGTTAAATTTGAGCAAAAGAAGATTAAACTAAAAGTTTCTGGAGCTTCATGTCTCAGTGTTTTCCCTCATTTCTAAAAATCCTGATGCAGTCACTGATGAAATGTAGTGTGTAAACTGATGGTGGAAGGTTTGAGTGCAGGTCTTCCTGCGGGGTTATCTGATGCCTCCACATCCAGATGCTGAGGGAACGGCTGTGCTGTTGGGAAGCAGACGAGAGTCCGACTGTGTTTATTTTAAAAGCGATCTTCCAGGAGGAGGTGAGGTGTGACCAATCCCAGGAGAGCTCTTTAACAGGTAATGGACCTGGTGATCAAACATCTCACACAGAGTGGAAAAGAAGCAAGGGAAGTCATTATGTCACAGAGGGAAGGGTCTGGATTGGACAGGAGGCTCCGGAGCAGCTGCTATAAAACCTGAAGCTGCAGGAAGACACGGAAACGCAGAGAAGACGACGGACAGCAGAGTTTTATCTCCAGAATCAAGGTACAAGCAGCATGAAACTGGATGAACCTGCAAAAAAAATCACTTTCTTCAATCCAAAAGTTTTTACTCTAAATGCCTAAACTTAAATTTAGCAAATGTTGAATTTCTTGATGCTTCTGTAGATTGTCAGTAAGAAACTTTCTAACTATCGCAGTGCTCCTACCTTGTGACACTTTTCTTGTGTAAAGTTGCTGTTTTTTGTATAAGAGTACTTTGAAGACATGTTTATTTCTGCATAAAAGTCCAAGCTGAAGCAGCTAAATGCGACAGAAATAAAACTGAGATCTTGAGAGGGCAGGTTCTGGTTCTGGAGAAGGTGCACCTCCTGCGCTAGGCTGCAGGGAGGAAACTCTGAGTCCAGCAGAACAAAGAGTGTGTGTATCATGTTGAGAAAATAAATTTTAATAAGCTAGT